TATTTTCATAAATTACTAAAAAATTATCAGCTAATAAAATAGATTATTTAAGAAAATTTTGACAAAATCATGTAAAGAACGAAGTGCACCCATGATCACAACAGAATAAAAAAAAATAGGGATTCAAGAATTATACCTCCGATTGCAAAGGCATGGCTGCAAATAAGAAGCGAAGGATTAAGATCCAAACGCATCAAATCTTTAAAAAAAACCCTAAGAAGTACAAACCCAACTCACACTCATCATCAATTTTAGATATACAGATGCTTCTGCGATTTTGAAGCTCAAAATCTACAGATCTAGTCGAAAATAGGAGAGGGTGAGAGGGGCGCGAACATCAGAGTAGACGCGAAATGAAATTAGCGGGTGAGCGAAAATAATGGAGGGAGGAGGATTCTAGGGTTTCTGAATAGAGAAAATCATAAAAAGGGAAGAATCAGAGAGGGTTGATGTTTTTTATTTCGAAAATAAGTCCATGTCAGTTTTTTACACCAATTCCGCCCAAAACCCCAAGATTTGGGTTTCTACAAAACACCCCACATTTCTTTGGCTTTATAGAAACCTTCATCTAGAAAATATTTGTGAACCAAATATTGTTTTAGGATATTAGCAGAAAAGTTCATTTACAAAAATACCACTGTTAGGTAGGAATCCTATTCCTAAGATTAATTTTGGGTGAACCAAACGGCCCCTTGGAGGTTTTGGGAATATGAGATGAATTTACTATTAAAAAATATTTTATTTTCTGGTGACGACTATTCTTTTGAAGAAAGCAGGAAGTAGAAGAAATGGAGGTTAGAGGTGGCAGGGGAAGGTTACAAATTTTAAAGTTGAGAATTTGGCTATTGGAGAGTTTTTAATTAAATTGATTTAAGTACTAAATAATTAAGAAGGGGTAATTTAGTCAAATTAATCAGTATCCTTAAGTCTAAGAGAATATTACGGAATATACTAGGTATATTTGTAACAATGGTATAAATTGGGCAATGTTTTAAATATTGCCTGATAAACCAATAGTATTGGCGATTTATTGGCTTTGGGGCCTTCTGCTATGATTAGTTGGATTTTAAATCGGTTATCATTTTTAGATATTTATTGCCGATAATGCGGCGATAAAGTGAGTTATCGGCTGATATTGTCGGCCCATAAATCAGAATTATCGGTCTTTGGTTTGAGTTTTGATTTCGGGCAATGTGCACCTATTCAATGCGCTTTAAACTAAACCTGACTCGAGTTTCTACCATTGGTTAATGATCCTAAACATAATTTTTTACATCTTGGTATGTTTATATTTCATTAAGTATGGTTAAATTACATGTTAGAATATTATATTATGTACATCACCATCTGGTAATATCACTCCGATAAATACTATTTATCCCGATATATCCCCGATATTCGCTATCCGATATGGATTTTGACCATGATAAATCCTTGATAACTGATATTTAAAACCTTGGCTAGGGGTATATTTATCCATTGTTGAAGATCTAAGTGTAAATTTACAAATATCAAGATTTAAGGGATAAATTTGCTAATGTCGTAAATTGAGCGGTATATATATATGCAAAAACCTCAAATCTATATTATGAACATGAGAGGAACTCTTTGATCCATTGAAAATAATCTAATTTGAGAGGAAATGTGAAATCCTCTTAAAATGAGATGATAAGGTAAAGTTGATAAGCTTTTAATATATTAGTGGGTGTCATTCTCTTAGCCACCACACAGCAGCAGATTTGATTCCCACTTATGGTGAACCTAGCTTAAGCCCATTAAAAAAACTTATCAACCAAAAGTGAAAAAATAGTTGTCTTATTTGCTTTAAAAGCTCGTTTGCACTCTGACGATCAACAATATCCAAAAACATGGATACAACGGATCCATAGGGTTCTTAAATCTACTCTCTCTCTCTCTGCTTCTTCCCTCTAGCCATTATTGATCCTTTCAAGTTCTTGCACATTTCATTTTGTAAAGATTCTCAAAAAGTAACAACTCATTGTTACAGTTCTTGCCCTTATAATGTGACATACCTCATGGTTTCCTCGGAGGTAGAAAGGACTGCAGATTGCACCAAACTTAGAGCATCATTGTTAGGGTTTGTTCTCTGTCTTGATCCTGAGATAGTTTAGTTGAGTGATGACGTAGAAAAGTAAATTTCACCTTTCACTAATTTAAAAACAACGACATTAATTAGGAGGATTATCTTTATCCAATGTGAGATAATTGTTTGGTAAATTATCAAATGTTTAGATTTGGAAGTTTTGCGAGTACAGGCTTTACAATAGATTTTTTTTGGTGTTTGGGGGCGGGGGGGTGTTAGCCAAAAACCTAAAAACTAAAACGTTATCCATGAGCAACTTAATCAACATCTTCATCCAGTACTCAACAACTTCATCCAACAATAACAAGAGTTAAAAAATATCCATATAAGTTAAAGCAATATTCTGACAAGTAAGGCCACTAATCATATAGATTAAAAATATATGAAAGAGATCCAAAATACCTATAAAAACTAAAGCTTATGCCCCCAAGAAACTTATATCAGCAACTTCCTCTAGTACTTAACTTCCATCCAATACAAACATTAGTTCAAATCTACAGAAACTCCAAATAAAGCATTTTCATCATTGAGGTACTAGCTCATAATCTTTCACATATATCTATCAGTAAAAGCCAACTATTATTTCAGTTCCTAACTAATATCATATAGCATGCTATTGAGTATATGCTACATATCCACAGCTTTAGTTCAACCTAAAATGACACATCCAAGTTTTATTCAAGTTTATAACCCATACTCAGATATATATGCCCACAAATGTTAATTCATAAGCATGGATATTTGTTCTTTTGAGTGATACCTAATGGTTTGCCTCTAGAAATGTGATCCTCTTGATATGTTCGATCCATGATCAGCTATGATTGCAGTTGAGCACATCACCCGACAAGTAACTCAACCCCCCTTAGGATATAGGTTAATAGTAATTATATTCTTGTATTAATAAGGTACAAGGTACTAGGAATAGTTAGTTTAACAAATTCCCTTATGCAAGATGCAAAGTTCACTATAATGATTGCAGTCACATACACCTTTTGACCGATGCTAAAATACAAAACCACCAAAGTTCACAGTAGTTTTCCAAATTTTAATCACAGTATAACTTATGATGTTTGACCTAATGCAATTGAGATCATGGTTCTTGAGTTTTGTAGATATAGGTGCAATAATGATAAAAGCAGGCTGACAAACTTGGGTTGTCTGTAGAGAAAAGTTTAAAGGTGGCTAATTATTTACTTGGGGAGTCAAGACTTATTAAAAATAAATAAAAAAAAGAATTAGCTAAACTGAAGGAATGAGAATAATAGGCTTCACTGCTGTAGTTGTAATAGTATTTCTGTAGCAATACTGTTATGTTAGAGTACATTTATTATTGTTTTTCTAAATTATGTACAGTTTTGTTTTATGTATTGTTTATTACTTTACTTTCTTCGGTAGCTTTTCCACTCATCTGAACATAAGATTCTCATATTCATAAACAAGTAAATGTGGAAAAGAAGATGAGAGAAACAATATAAAATGAAATGGAGGTTTGGAAAGGGGAAGACATATTTGTAGAAGGGTGCCACCCACAACTCATGGCAGAGCTCAAGTAAGTTTGAAAGTGGTTATGGATCTCACTATTATAGCGCAACCCTTGCACACTGCCAATTGGTCAAACACA